GTAGGGTGAGGTGTGATAATTTTAGGGTCGACCTTTTCTAACCCTTCCTTCCGTGTGAGAAGACAGCATCGCTGCACATGCTGGTTATTCGAGGAAACACCCTACTGCTGTCTCACCCCTCTACAGTCAGCAGTACGACTTCGCCTCTCAGACCTGGAGTAGTTGCTTTTAGTCTGATCGTTCTCCAATAGACCTGTCTGGCATGGTTGAAACCTTCAGGAACATATGTTCCAGCCAATATAGTTCGGTTGAGTCATCACGATAGTCAAGGCCGAACACCATCTCAAGGTAGCAGCTACGGTCGGGAAACTATTGAATATGTATTTTGATGATATGGGTTGGAATAAAACAGTTCATGAAAACTATAACGAGACATCTTGTAACTATTCATTCATGCAGTAAGTTTACCCAGATAAGAGGATTTAAACGAATCCAGATGCGAATCGACTTAGTTTTTGAATTTATCTACTATAAACCAGTTAATGTTCAGGAATTCACAAAAGTGTTTGAATGATTGCGTATAATGAACGCCTGACCTAGGAATAGTTTAAAAGCTTGTTAAGATGCCGTCGGATGTAAGTTGTGTTTGTTTTACGTTTATGGTGCTACGATTTCATGAAATATTTCATTATCGTTCTAAAAATCAGCAAAATTGTTAATTGGTATATGGAGTGGTTAATACTTAATCGACATCCGAAATGCTATACAGAAATTTATGACACCTAAATGATTTTATGATATACGTGATTCATTTGTAGTGTAGGATGTTTATATAACAGATAACAACGATTGAAAGTTAATTTCAGGCTCACCATCCAATCAGGCTTGTCTTAATGACTGTGAAGGAAGATACCTTTTGAACATTTGAATGTGTTTGATGTTTTTTTGACACGAAGACCGTGTCATTGTCTTTTTATAACTAATGTATGAGTAATTTTAAAACTTCTAGCTTATGTTGCTTTACGTGAGTTAATAAGATATGACCTCGCTTTGGTGTAATATTGTATCAATTAACATGTTATAGTCACGGGTTTATCGGTATTAATGATCTCAGTCTTACTAAGTTTTTTATTCATTGTCGATTTCATATGTTTTAGACCTCTAGTCTTTTCAAAGAACTAACACTCAAAGATGCGGAGAAAGCTTTGGCAGCGGATCTGGATCTACTTGTGGACACTATACCAAATTCCTCTCCAGAAAAAGAGGTGTTCATAAGGCAGATGAAATCTTTCAAAGAGTTGTTTAAGCGATATTTACATGAAAAGACAGAAAAATTTGATTGGAATGTGATGGAGCCTGTTCCGCCTGAAAGTGTAAGATATCTTTGCGTCTTTTATTTTCATTAATCATTTACAATTTACCAAGATAATCCATTAATTTTGGATGCATTTAGGCTTATAAAATATGAAATAAAATATCTCTTCATTTCCCTCGGTTTCTGGTAAGTATTGATGTGTGGTAGTAACGTTATTCCTACATCTGAAAATTACATAGTAATCAATATTTTAGTCTACATGCAGTCTATTCAGGGTTGTTTATTTTTAGCACATTTTGTGAGGTTAGGACCAAAACAGAATAACAAAACTCCTAGAATAAGATGAAATTATTCCAATTTTTATCTTAGTAGACATGAATCGGTCAACAATCGCCCTTATTGCGATATCACTGTTTGTAATTTTAAGCTTCCTGGAGATCATAAGGAAATTCAAATTAGAATGCAACCGTCTTATTCTGCAGATTTTGTCATTCCTCCTCTGTTTTGATGATAAATACATCTATCAACTCAGTAATTAAGAAATCACTAACTCAGTTGTAAGCTAACTGAAATACTAGGGAGCATGAAAATGTGATGAATGCTTCCAATTTAATCTCTATTGGGACTAATACAACTAGTGCAGATGCATGTGTCAAGTTCAAGTAAGAAGCTTTATATTATAGAAATAGGTAAAGCCATTCATTATTACTGAATTTGGACACAAAAATAGTATCATCCATCTCATTACCAAAGCATACTAAATGTCCTAAATTTAACCATACAAAATAAATGTATGAGTAATGCAACTCATGAATGAGGAATATTCACATTTGACAAAGTATAAGTGTGATGAGTAGAAGTAATGACAATTTGTATATTATCTAGTGATTTTGGGGACCATCTAATGCCTTACGCTAGTGATAATGATCTGACTTGGATTCAATTTAGTGGGGTAAAACCTAATATTGTTAATTTTAAATCAAAATACGGTTTATCGTATCAACTTCAAAGGAAATATGTTGTTGAGCCCACAGGGCTTGTCCCCAGCCTTTGGAAAAATCAATCTATTCATTATCCTCTAGTCATTTACATGACTTCTCGATCCTGTTAATAATTAGCTTGACTGATTTTGTGTGTATGTACATTTCTAGCCTATCATAGCCTGGTTATAAATACTTCGCCGTGCTTCTTCACATCGAGTTGGCTCATTCGCCGTCTCTACCTCACTTTGTGTTCTCATGTCTATCTGCCTAAATGAATGCGTAAAATAAATTCATCCGCGAAACCTTAATTGGCTTCTTGTTACCGTCGTCGCACAGCATGATATCCGGAAACTGAAGGAAAGATTTATTTCATATCGTACTCTTAACCAAACCTGAGTAAGATCGCAGGCCACTAGGATGTTGAGCCATACTTCGGATTTAACGCGGCCACTAAATGTGATACTAAATCAGCGGCTATGGCGTGAGACTAGAAACAGTAACTTATCGGTTAGTAATTAGGTCTCTGGACAGCTCTGGGAATCTAAGGACAAACTAGTCGTTTATTTTTGTTAGTAGCTGTATCTACCTTATTTACTAAGTTTTTAAGGTAATGCTACCGTGAGTATACAGTAATTTTCAGTTTTTTTGGTTACATTCCTGTTTGATCATTATGTATGACTTAATGACTCGAAATTCCAACTTTGTTTTAAAAAAAAATATAATCAAATCCGATCTTTTGCTTTGCATCTAAAGTTGAGTGCTTCTTTTCGCCTTTACACTTTCCAAATTTTACAATTTCTAGATCAAAATGTATGATGCTCTTCATGTCCCTACTGATCGTGAAATGATTCGTGAACAATTAAACAAACTTGTCGTGGTGAAACTAAACGGTGGTCTAGGCACCACCATGGGTTGTACTGGACCCAAATCTTTAATTTCTGTTCGCAGTAACCTTACCTTTCTCGACCTGACTGTCCAACAAATTGAGGTATGTACAAAGAAGAATAATAATCAAGTTCTTCTAGTCTGGATTGCTGTTATTCTTCTTAATTTTATTTTTCCAAGTTGCTAAAGTTGGTATCAATATATCCTAATGAGCTTGTCAAGAAGGAAGCTAAAAATGAGAAAGTAATTATGTAGTGCTAGTATGGTGCGAGCTATTTATAAGTAGTATATGACGTGAGTGTCAACGTAATGTCTGGCAGCGGAAGATGGGGAGAGATCAAGAAAGGAAGAGTTAGAAGAACACAATGGAATTTCTATGAAACGCATGAATAGTGAGTGACAATGGATTGATGTTTTGCAACAGGAACAGTCCAGTTCGATATGATGAACTGGTATTTTGCAAATGAACGATTTACGATATGGTTTTCCGATTTTACTGAGTAACTCTGTAATTTTCGTTAAATACAATCCGGTTGCCCCACCTGTGTTCTCGTTCACTACACTAGTCTTGTTTTCACCCGCATCTTTGAACTGTGAGATTTCTTAGTGAATTAACACCAGTTCTACATAATTAGGATTGTTGAACTTGTTTCTTGAATATTCGGCCGATATCCAGATACTTTTTTTTTAACGTATACTAAATAATTGTAAGAATGAATTACTGGAAAGTCATATTTTATGTATACTTCGTAATAATTACAAAAAGAATAACTAAAACGCTAAATAACTTGTACTATCAGTAGAAATGTTGTACTTGAACTGATGTATAACTATTTTTGAAAGAAAAAATAATTTCAGCACAGTGCTATCTATGTTGTAAATTGTAAGTTGCACTTAAAATTGACTGAGTCAAATGACTTATTTCTATATTTGTCATGTATTTCTGGTTAAGATATGTTTTCTTATCGAACTTGAAAAAAATTCTACTGAAAAATGATAGTGAATACTTTTGTTTTATCGCATATATTTGTTTTTAGAGATTAAATAATGAATATGGAACAAGTATTCCTTTGGTTTTAATGAATTCATTCAATACACATACTGAAACTGAAAAAGTTCTACGTAAATATCAACAAGTTAATGTTCAAATTTTAACATTTGTACAAAGTTGGTAAGTGATTTTTTTTTTTTGATATGATAATAAATATTCAAAAAGTATTAAAATTAATCACTACTAATCTTATGAATTTGAGTAATGAGATATTTTCAGTCAGTCAGTCAGTTAGTTGCAACGTAGAACTATGTACGTATGTACATCAGTTCATGTTGTCATTGCCACATTAGCACAGAGACGCAGATGTGAAATCAAATCCCATAGTGATAAACATAGTAGAGGTATTAATGGTAATGAAGAAGATTAGGTTTTGAAGATAATATTCAAGAAGTATAATTCAGTAAGATAAGGTTAGGAGAGACAAAGGTAGAGGTGCTGACGAATTCAGAAGATTAGGCTTTGAGAGAGCACAGCGAATGGATGCACTTACGCCATTGGAAACGATTCTGAGCCATGTCGTTCAAGGTCTCTAACCATTGGTGACTTTTGTCTCGTGGACCCCAACCAGGTAGTCTACATCTACCAACATGGCTCAGTGACTTCATGGATTTCTGCCATGTTTTGGTTTGGCCGCCCCTAACTTTCTTCCAACCTATTCCTACACTACAAAACATAGCTCGTCGAGGCAACCGGTGTTTGAATATTCGTAACACATGTCCCAACCACCTCAACTGATGAAGTTTCACCACTTCATCTATTGATCTGCTATCCTTATCTAGCACTCGTTACCTAACGACAGCATTGCTTACTCGGTTGTCTCACGGTATACGAGCAATGCTTCTTAAACATCTATGATCGAATACCAGTAACCTACGAACATCTTCTACTCTTAATGGCCATGCTTCACAGTCATAGAGGAGAACGGAGCGAACTGCTGCGTAGTACACCCGTCCTTTGGTTAGCGAACGGATATCACGCCTACTCCATAAGTGACACAGGTTGGCAAAAGCCAATTGAGCCTTCTGTATCCGCGCTGAGATTTCGTCAGTCAACAGGCTATCAGAGCTGATGAGACTCCCCAGATACATGATGCGGTCTGTACGTTTGACTACTTCACTCCCTATCACTAGTTCAGGTGCCGATGCGACCCAATCTTGAAGCAACATTTTGCATTTCGAGGATGAGGACCGCATCCCGAACATACTCGCATTGTTGCTTATGATATATTTTAATATTCTAAAGTCTTCAAATATACATTATATGAATATTTTGATCAAATTTTATTTAAAGGATTTTAATTTCAATCGAATTTACAATTAAAATGTCAGATATATTGGAAATATGGAATCAATCTTATCAGTATTATGTGCTTTGTTCTTATCGAAATACGTTCAGAAATAATTTTTTTTTAATAAGATTTAAGTATTGCTGAACGTATTAAATCAAATCAATTGATGAAGTAGAGAATTGCCATCAGTTGAAATGGTTGGAACATGTGTTACATATGCCCAACTGCTGACTGCCTCGTCGAGCAATGTTTTGTAGTGTAGGAGTAGGTTGGAAGGAAGCTAGGGATGGCAAAACTATAACTTGACATAAATCCATAAAGTCTCTTACAATTTTATTGAGTTCTGTTTATAGATAGAGGCTGCTTGGTTAGTAGGGTCCGCGAGACGAAAGTCACCGATGGTTAGAGACCTTGAATGACAGACATGGCTCAGAATCGTTTGCAATGGTACAGGGGCATCCACTTTTTATGTTTTCTCAAATCCTAACCTTCCAAATTCCTTGTCACCTTTATCTTTCTCTCTTCAAACCCTACTCTTCTCCATTACCGTTAATACTTCTACTACTATGGGATTTGAATTGACAGATGTGTATCTTTGCTAATGTATGTATGTACGAAGTCCTACATTGTAACTGACTGACTGACTCACTCACTGGACGTGAAAAATCTAGATATACACATTATACTTGTCATAAATATTTAAGAAGTTTAACTACTTTTTTCTTTTTGCTTATCCCAACTTTTATATCTTGATTTCTGTAAAAAAAATATCAAACCTATAGTCACTTTTTTCCTTTCTCTCTCTGTTTCCTAGTTATCCTCGTTTAAATCGAGAATCATTATTACCTATTGCTAAATATGCTAGTCAAGAATGTTGTCATAACAATATTGAAACAAAAATTTCTAAAGATATGAACTACAATCCAGAAGAATGGTATCCACCAGGACATGGTGATTTCTATCGTAGTTTTGTTGATTGTGGACTGGCTGAGAAAATGTTAGCTAATGGTAAACAATGGGTTTTTATGTCAAATATTGATAATCTTGGAGCAACTGTTGATTTAAGTATCCTTTTGAAAATAGTTATTTATCTGTTATATAATTCAACAATTTTTTCTCATAAATCTTAATGTTTGTCTAATCTTTTTAAGAGTAATGAATAACCTATATGGAAATGTTGAACTCATTAACTGTTAATGCGTTCAATTTTGACATACTACTTACTGACTGTTACAATATTGATTCAGTCATCATGTGAATGCAACTTATGTTGTTCTACAAAATAAATCTGACTCATTTATTCACAAAACAAAAACAGAATATCATTGTCTTCAATCAACTTTCATGAAGTTCAAATAAGAATTAGGATAAGTATGATGACAGTGTACTTCCGAGATATCAGCAGTATTGAAAACTAACTTTGTAAATAAAATGATTCAAATTGTAGCAAGTAACAGCAACTCAATGTTATATTTACCAAGTGAGTAGACAATATTGAAGGAGAACAAACTAGATTCCAGCGGAGGAGGAAATCAAGAAGAAGCGCTGTAAGTGGATAGGACATACACTGTGGAGAGCACTGAACTGCGTCACAAGACAAGCCCTCACATGGGATCCTCAAGGCCAAGGGAAGACCAAAAACCACATTACGCCCAGAAATGGAGAAAGACATCAGAAGAATGAACAAAAATTGGACAGAACTGGAAAAGGAAGCTCAGGACAGAGTAGGTTGGACAAAACTGGCCGGCCGCCTATGCTCCATTGGGGGGTAACAAGCATAAGTAAGTAAGTATGTGTAAGAAAACAATTAAAAATAACACTGTTTATATTTTTCCCTAATAAGGTGTCAAGTAAACATTCCATCATATTGTCGTCAGTCACCTGACTAATTCGTTTTTTGGTTTAAAGTTTTTAAAATATGAAAAAATACTTTTTTTTTTAAAAAAACTATCCCTTCCTTAAAAATTAAAATTCATTTTCCAAGATATTTTAAATTTTCTAATGAATAAAGATTTACACAGTAATAATAAACAATCACCAGAATTCGTGATGGAAGTTACTGATAAAACTCGAGCTGATGTTAAAGGTGGCACTTTAACACAATATCGTGGACATTTACGACTACTGGAATTAGCACAGGTATGTATATGGATGTTGATTTCGAATTGATCAATTCTTTTTCTGATAAAATTTGGATTTGTGATTAATAATTACGAAAATGTTACTGCCAAACATTGCACAGCACAGCACAACACAACATAACACATGTTCCAATTTTCATGTAATTTTTTTTTATATAGGTCCCTGAAGATCATGTGGATGATTTTGCTAGTGTACGGACTTTTAAAATATTTAATACAAATAATCTTTGGATTGATTTACAAGCATTACATCGTAGTGTTAAACAAAATACTTTACAAATGGAAATTATTGTTAATCCGAAAACTTTAGATTCTGGTACAAATATATTACAGTTGGAAGAAGCTGCTGGTGCTGCTATCAAGTCATTTAATGGTGCTTTTGGTAAGAAAATAATATACAGTGTTAATTATCTATATATATGTACTTACTTACTTACTTACGCCTGTTAACCCTCCAATGGAGCATGGACCGCCCACCAGTTTTCTCCAACCAACTCTGTCCTGGGCTTCCCTTTTCAGTTCTGTCCAATGTTTTCTTGCATTCTTCTAATATTTTTCTCTATTTCTCGGCGTAAAGTGCTCTTTGGCCTTGCTCTTTTCACTTTACATTGAGGGTTCCATGTGAGGGCTTGTCTTGTGACACAGTTGGGTACTTTTCACAGTGTATGTCCTATCCACTCCCAGCGCTTCTTCCTAATTTCCTCCTCATCCAGTCAGTCAGTCAGTCAGTTGCAACGTAGAACTTCGTACGTAAGTACATCAGTTCATGTCGCCATACCACATCAGCACAGAGATATAATTGTCAATTCAAATCCAATAGTAGAGATTTCCTCCTCCACTGGAATCTGGTTTGTTCTCTTCCACAGTTTGTTGTTGCTGATGGTGTCTGGCCAACGAATACGAAGTATTTTGCGTAGACAACTGTATATATATATGCTAATAGTAGCAATTTTAATGAGGTGTTCTTGGCCATTGAACACACACATACATGATGACTGAATGTTGTTGAAACTTTACTGTATTTTACTTATTAAAATATTCACCATTATTATTGTTTCTGTGGCTGACATTGTCTTTTGTTATGTGTATATGCTTCTGGTTCCATTGTAGCTACAACTCTATTGTTTATATTTAGAAATAAGAACCAGTGGGATTCTCACCAATGTAAAGTAAGAATAAAACGATTGATATAAATGAAGATTCACTGAGTATGGAGAATATCAATTTACAGAAAAAAAATATATCGTCAAAACAGGTTATCATTAGTTCAAAAGAAACAGTCATTGGTATACAGATTTTCGAAACCTAATAATTAATTAGTTGATAAACATCATCTACAAACACAGGATTACTGTAAAGTACATAAAATGCGTAAATTGTAAACTTACTGACCACTGTTACCTCCCAGTAGTGGAGAATAGGCCACTGACCAGTTTCTGGTTAGCGTTCTTTTAGCGAGTTGCTTTTCTACAGATGCGGTCGCTAACCTCAGTGCCCAACCCTCCTTCGTCCGGGATTGGGACCAGCAGTACACTTAGAGGGGGACAAACTGTAAACTTTACTGTATGACAATAATATTATACAATCTGATTCTATTTCAAGGGTACAGTCCTATCCAAATAATTTAATTTGTGATGTTTTTTTCGCTTGTTCGTCGAGCTATGTTTTGCGATATAGGAATAGGTTGGACGAAAGCTAGCGGGCGGCCAGACCAAAACATGGCACAAATCCATGAAGTCACTGACAAGTGGACTGAGTCATGTCGGTAGGTGTCGACTATCTGGTTGCAGTCCACGAGATGATAATAATCGATGGTTAGAGGCCGAGTGATATGGCTCAAAACCGTTTGCAATGACGCAGGTGGATTTACTCTATGTGTTCTATGAAATTCCAACCTCCTGAATTCCTCATCACCTCTATCTTTCTCTTCCTAGATTTACCTCACTAAATTACACTTCTTGAATAACATCTTCGAACCCTAATCTCTCCCATCACTTCTAATACTTTTACTAACTCTACTACTATGGGATTTGAATTGAAAATTGCATTTCTATGCACTAATGTGGTATGGCAACTTGAACTGCTGTACTTACGTGCAAAGTTCTACGTTGCTGTTGATGATTTTTTCGCTTGTCAGTAATGCTACTTTTTTAAACTAGCGAAATGGATTATTTCTCTAAATCACTAAAAAACTACAACCCATTTTTCACACATTTGAAATCATCAATCAATCCTTGTTAGACCACTATTCAAAACCAGGAATCACTGGACGGCCGTTTCATCCTTGTATGAGATTTATTATCATCAGTGCGCAACCACGACTACTGCTCCTTGCAGGACTCGAACCCGAGACCTTCAGTATTGGGCGCGAACGTCTAACCATTGGACCACTGGACCGGCATCCAACGATGTGCTAATGTCTAACTCTGATTGATCTAGAGATTTTGCACGACCTCACCTATTTGTCTTTGGTAGTTACTACGTCCTACACCCGACAGGGTTGAACTCCATTGGTCACGTCTTCTCAACTAGAACTCCGAGAATTTCCTAATGAGCACACATCATCAACCAACCTATTTGTTTGTTGTGTTGTTTTTTTCTCTTTCATTCAGGTGTTAATGTTCCACGAAGTCGTTTTTTACCAGTGAAAACAACTTCCGATTTATTACTAGTCATGTCTAATTTATATGTATTAGATGGTGGAAGTTTATCTGTTTCACCATTACGAAGTTTTCCATCTGTTCCATTAATTAAACTTGGTAGTCATTTTAAAAAAGTAAAAGATTTTCTAAATCGATTTACAAGTATACCGGATCTATTGGAATTAGATCATTTAACTGTATCTGGTGATGTATTCTTTGGAAAAGGTGTTGTTTTAAAGGTAAGTAATATAATTAAAGTTTGATAGTTATTTAATGAATAATTGTACAGTACAGTACAGTAAATCCAATTGGTGATATTGTGTTATGATTTGGATCAAGTGATAATCTCTTTTGGCCTTACACGATGTAAATAAGTGAATAGAGTGTAGAACTTGGCAATCTAATGGCACCGACAGATGTGTATCTTAATGTTAATTGGTGTTAGAGTTGATCAAAAAGACACCGTGGACTAAGGCCTCATGATAGTGGCGACTTGTTTCGATGAGAATATATGTAATCTTGGAGAAAATTAATGTTACCTAACTGATATGATGGATGTATTGTATTGGCTACCTTTTAATCTGATCTATACAACGAATAAATGGATGACCAGTTTTATATTATCACTAAATTTCGATATTTGAAGAGTATACCACATAGAGTTACTGCCTATACTCCTACTGTGGTGCGAGCTACTTATAAGTAGCATATGAAGTGAGTGTCAACGTAATGTCTGGCAGCAGAAGATGGGGGAAGATCAAGAAAGGAAGAGTTAGAACACAATGGAATTTGTATGAAACGCATGAATAGTGACAATGGATTGATGTTTTGCAACAGGAACAGTCCAGTTCGATAATATGATGAACTGATATTTTGCAAATGAACGATTTACGATATGGTTTTCCGATTTTACTGAGTAACTCTGTAATTTTCGTTAAATACAATTCGGTTGCCCCCACCTGTGTTCTCCTTCACTACACTACCACCTCTACCACTATGGGATTTGAATTGATAATCCAATCTCTCTGAGGTATCATGGTATGGCAACTTGAAATGATGATATACGTACGTACGAAGTTCTACGTTGTTGCTGACTGACTGATACCGCACACAGAGACTTGACCACATTAAACCCATACATACAATTCACGACAAAGATAGACAACCAGAGTAAGCAATATAAAATATTTTATTCCGTAGTAGAAATCAATTAGAGGAAATGAAGTCACTTATTTAATAGTCTGTAGATTGTACTTATTTGTCAAAGCTCAATGATAAACCACATTACCAAGCATTATTAAGATATTACTACCAAGCTAATCAGTCTATGACTAATCTCTATATGACTTAAATGTTTCACATTGATCGACTGCGAACCAGTAACAAACATCACGTCCAGTCACGTAGACTAGTGGTCATATATTACAGTTTTGTTGATAGAATTAGATTTGTAGCACTAAAGGATTACTAGAGAAATAGGACATTTATAAGGGAGTAAGATACAATCGAGATGCATGCATATGATTTTGATCGGTAATCCTTGTTTTTTCCTCAAAAAGTGTTTTCTAGGTTTCCATCTTAGTTACTGAATTACTATGATTTCTTCCGGATGATACAGAATCTGAATTAGGTTCAAGATTTTCCGATGAAATATGGGAATTTCTAAAATTAATACAGCGGTTTATTTCCCATAGTTCACATCACGGACTAGATGCGGGTAAATGTTGAACACCAGGAGGCATTGAGAGGATATACTCATTGATGATGACTTGTTTCAGATAATTCCGATATTTCTGGCGCAAAATAGTGATTTGTGGAGTATCATTCATGTCAACTATGAGGCATTTATACACCAGTAGTGACATCGAATTGATTGATGGATGTTTCAATCATTAGATGGTAGTTCTGTGATTAAAAGGTTAAACGCTTGGCATCATAAGTCTCATCCCCAGTGGAGTCTTAGTGTGGAGAACTGCTCAGTCCATACTTATCTAAGACGAAACAGCTGTCTAGTGCTTCCTAGTTGTTGTCTAACTAAGATCATTCAATGATGTCAACTATATAAGACTTCGCAATCTACTCAGGCCCTGTATACTAATAACAATAGTTTCAGCTAATTCCCCTATTCAACAAAACATTGAATAAAAAATTCTTCAAAAATTCTTTTTTCTTTTTCAGGGTACAGTCATTATAATTGCCAATTTCGGTAATCTTATCAATATACCACCAGGTTCAATATTGGAAAATAAAATTGTTTCAGGAAATCTACGCATTTTAGATCATTGAAAAATAGGGTGTTGAAATTTCAAAAGAAATATGTGAAACATCCAACTAATATTACTATTACTAATATTATTATTATTATTATTGTTACTACATTGTATTCACACATTATTAGGGGGGGAAATTATGTTTGTAACTAATCATGCTAGGCGCTTTCATTACCATTATTATTACTACTATTATTATTGTTATTAGTGCAATTCATTCTTTTCATAATATTCTCACTTGTAATTTCATTTCATTTTGATCTGTCTTACTTATATCTTCGATACATACATACATATACAAAGTATATTTCTGGACATTTTATTTAGGGTACATTAATAGTAGTAATAGTAATAAGGCTTTCTATCATATTTTTGACACCTTGATACACATATACATTTGTAGAGTGATGACCATGATCATTTTGTTTATAAAATAAATTTCATGAAATTTTTAAATTTCAAAAAATAGGAAATACTTTCTACAAATCTCAAGGTCAACCGATTAGCTCATGCTGGCAAACGTGAGATCCAAGATAAACGAGTTCTTGAGGGGGTCTAACGTCCCCAATATAAAATCAAATTGGTTTTTCATACTGGGATGAAATGGTCATCCAGTTCAAGTGCTTCCAGATTTTTTTTTTTATTGATGGTCGATTTTAGTTAAGAGTAGTTCGTGATTTCAACTATGAGAGAATAATCCTAATATATTGTCCGTTATGTATCAATTTTATTTTTAATAGGTATGCACTAAAGGTTTACTTACAAAACACCATGAGTAGAATGAACTTGCATCAACTTGATATTCAGGTCGACTGGAGATGTTGGGTAACAGAAATGGTGGCTGAAGGGCTAGTTGGACTGTTGCCTGAAGTGTTCTGCTCATCGATCCAATCTCGTAGATTAAGAATAAGTAATAGTCCCATCATATTTTCCTGAGATAGTTCTACGAAGAGTTGGATTTCTAACACCAGTTTCCTTAATAGGTTTGAATAGTTGTCTGCTCTTAGTTATTGCCACGGCTGCTTGTGATCATTGCATAGGCTTCTAATTAGCTTGAGCTTAAACTGACTTCACTTCTCATCACAGCCAGAGCCAGAAGAAACTAGTTTCTGAGAGTCTATCTGTTTTAGTGGATGCTAATGAAGTCTACTGCTTTTCTCTAACATTTTGATTTAACTAATTGGCAGATATCACTCCGGTTTCTACAGCTTTCTGGATAACATTCCAAGCCGCCTCGAGGTGGGATGCCTAACTGCTTTACTAGTTGCCCCTAAAATATACTCGTGGCTTTGGTATCGTTAGACAGAACACTAAGTGGTTTCTTTGCTGTGTCCCTATTACGTCCAGTGAGCCATGGACGAACTCGCTCGTACTAGAGCACGATCTCGATTTAAACATTGGTCCAGAATGAGCGGCGGTCTTCAATGAGGCCTCTGCATCGGTAGCTGGTAGCGACGTGGTCAAGTTGAGTCCACTATTGGGTCGATTTCTGGAGTCGATAAATTTGGAGTTAGTATTAGGCAGAGATAGATGGTCATCTGAGCTTACTTGCTGCAGACGGTCACTATTACTCGTTATTTGAGACCCGACTCCATAAGATCCGCCCAGATGTTTCCTAGTCTACCTATTTGAGCGTTAAAGTTACCCGCCACTACTATTGATACGCCAGAGTGCTTAGCTTTATGAAGGTTGGAAAGCTTTCTGTAAGATCCATCTTTTACCTCATCCGAACTGCAGTCAGTGAGATCGTATACAGAGATAAGGAGGAGGCAACGGCGACTGTCCCTATGTTTCCGAGTCCTTATTGTAACATTCGGTCAAACGGCGCACGAGCGACTACTACGTACTGGGATCCAGTCTAAGAGAGCTAGTCTTGCTTCAAGACTTAGTGCTAACCCACACCAGTGTGACCACGAGAAGCAGCAGTAGGGCTTCTAGATACACGCAGCGTAAACCGAGTTCTTTATTTAGACAAAGTGAAGTCAAATTAATCACTGTACTCGGATCCTGTATGCGCACTTCGGAGACGCAGCATACATCGATGGCGAGGGATTCTAGAGTCCTAGCCAGGGAAGCCTGTTTTCCTATTTGGCAGATTGAAAGCTACATGTAGTTTAAAGCGGGATTTCATTAGACTGGGTATAACGTTTCGCGCACTCAAATCGTACGCATCAGTGCCGCGAGATGATAAAGGAATGTGAGGAGGGTTATTCGTGGAGGTAAGTTATTAGGTGTAGAAAGGATTTGATTGTGACCGATTTGGTCTCGTGTGCTGTCACGAGTATGGGAGAGGATGTCACCTCCCGGCTACCCATACTATGGAAGGGTGTTTCTTGAGGAACCTGAAACGGACATTAGATTAACGTTGGCCTTATCGACCTGGGAGAGTTTCCGCAAAGCCCAAGAGACAACTGTCTGAGGCCGGTCACGTATGGCCTTTCACGGGAGGTTAATGTGTTAACTCCGCTTTTCAAAATGCCTCACCGGCGGAGTCAGAGATCCGCGCTGTAAGGTGTGGAATTTATGTAGTTGACCTTTTCTAATAACCCTTTCCTTCCATCGTGAGAAGACAGAATCGCTGCAGGTGCTGATTGTCCGTGAGAAACACTTTGTTATCACACCCCTGTACAGTCAGCAGTACAACTTCGCGCTCAGACTTGGAGTTAGTTCTTTCAGTCTTGCTGTTCTCCAATTGATCTGCCTTGCATGGACCTAAAGAAACAAATGTTCTAACCAATATAGCCCCCGGTTGAGTTATCCCGAAAGGCATGTCCGATCACCTCGTCAGGGTAGCAGTTACGGTCGGTAATCAAATTGTCATCTTCTAGTGATTTAGACCGTTAATATTTACCAATGCTTTTCGACTCGCATAACATACAAGTTATACTTCTATAAATTAGCACTATATCATTCTATGTAGTTGGATTTTACTGAAATGTTGATGAACTCATAGGTAGTTGAAAAAAAAATTATGAATATTAATTTGAAAGAGAGAAAAGTAGTTCGATTATCTAGTTAGAGTTAAAGTGATATGTAGTGTTTTGTACACTTAAATATATAATTTCTGCAAAATAACATTTATGTAAGTTTGTGTGTGTTTGAATGATTGAAGAAACCACCAAACTTTTTATCTATTTCAACGTGGATAATAGGTAGAATGTATGTGCGTGCGTGATGTGTATGTGATGAGAGAATTTCTCTTAAATAAGAATTTTAAGATATTTCCTTATTGATACTTACAACAGTCTGTGTAACATAAACCTTGGTCAAGTTGGTTGATTTATTTATGTGTTTCGGTTGAAATAGATATTGATTAGCGGTACCTAGTAGAATAGGCAAATGTAATTAAGATATGTACTAAGGCTTTATATTATGTTTCCTAGTATATGTTGCATAACTGATGGGTTCTGATCTACGAAGAGAGTATGATTGTTTCAGCCAACTTGTATGTACCTACTTTAAAACAAATGGACAAATTTGATGAGATTTAAAATTTTCTCTATACAGTCAGTGATTGTGAAAAGATGTAGGGCGGAAAAGTTTCAATATTTCATATTTACACACTCAACCGGATTCTGTACGCTTTATTAACTTTGCATCTTAAACTAACTAACAGTTGTCTAAGCAAAATACTTCGGATTCGTTGGCCAGACATCGTCAGCAACAACGTACTGTAGGAGAGAACAAACCAGATTCCTCCAGTGGAGGAGGAAATCAGGAAGAAGCGGTGGAAGTGGATAGGACACACTCTGAGAAAAGCACCTAACTACGTCACAAGACAAGCCCTTACATGGAACCCTCAAGGCAAAAAGAAAAGAGGAAAACCAAGAAACACATTACGCCGAGAAATAGAGAAAGACATGAGAGGAATGAACAAACATTGGACAGAACTGGAGAGGGAAGCCCAGGACAGACAGAGTAGGTTGGAGAAAACTGGTGGGCGGCCTATGCTCCATCGGAGGGTAACAGGCGTAAGTAATTAATCTTAAACTAACTGGATCGAAGAAGTCTTAAAGTTTAACCACCAATAAAATACCTATTATGCACAATTACTCATAATAACGAAGCCAATTAAACTAAAGAATTTAAATAAAAGAAAATCTGACATAATTAATTAATTTGTAATATCACAAAGTTAAAACATTAGAAAATATTATACAATTGGATAAAAATCAAATCACGTTTTTGTTCAAGTACTGCTTTATTACCTGAAAATGTTATATTTCCCTATATATAGCTCACCACCCCCCCCCTCAACCCACTGATACCTTTTGTCAAATATATAGCTTGATCATTGTGATTAAAGCGAGTTTCATCCATCGTATGAAGTTGACAATAAGTAGTAGTAGTAGTAGTAGTAGTGGATGCTACACAGTCATACTATATACAATCCCGTCATGATGAATAATAATACTATCTCAATAGGAATTGATTTAAAAATGATCCATTCAAAAGAATAAATAATAAGTAAGAAATACATACACAGATTATACAACAACACTAAATAAAATTTACGAGCTGTGATTGAATTTACACTTGACTTTTGCATTTTGTGAACTGTCTGTGTTTTGTTGTTGTTGTAGACCAACTTAATCGAGCCATATCACCGCAAACATTCAATAAACACTGGGCTTGATTTCTTGAAGTTGGTCTGAGAACAACAACTTCACTTAAATGATATGATAATAATGCATTACCGCCTAAACTTGTTGTATGTGCTCCAACAACAGCTTGTACTTCAGTTAAACTTGTATGCAAAAATCCCGAAATACCACCAACCTGTATGTAACACATAGAAGAAGAAGAAAGTTAAGTACTAGGATAGCTGTTTATGAGATAATAATGCTTGTAGCTATTACAAGTTCACTTTACTTGGTAAGCGGAATGAAGAGCGATGACTCAATTACACGATAGGCTACTCTAATCTGATCGTCCAAAGCCTCACTAACAAGGGGAAGAAGTCTTGATAAGGCGTAGAGAGAATGTATTCCACAGGCAACCAGAAAGTACGAGATCCACAAGCACACAACTCAAGCTTATTTATACAATGATAGAAACGCTCTTGATGAGAGCCGCAAAATAGCGTACTGAAATAATCCATCAACCAATGACAGTCAAAGATTTTCTTAGTGGGAAATGTAAGCTGAAGGTCAACTGAGCGTCTTTGGCGCGAAGACATAAGGATTCAAAATTTCAGAAATAAATTACAAAAAATTAGAACCTTTTCCAAGTGAGTTCTGGGGATCTAACGTCCGCAAAAGTTTAGTTTTTGACTTGATGATGGCTTCAAAATCATGTGTACCCAGACAGAATTAAGTCTAAAATGTATGAATCTCAATTCTAACGGCATGATACTTTAAGAAAAAGCATTGAATTGTAGAGAACATAGTGGTTGATATTATGTAAATATGCACACTAATTAATTCCTAAAGAGTGATCGATATCATATTTGTTTATTACTTTAGAGTTGATTGATTTCTATCAATCAGGTTGCAATCTGTGTCCGTTAATCTAAATAACTCGATATCGCGTTTGAATGTCAGATGGTGGTTGGAAGGAGTCGGTAAGAAATTGTGTTTGACTCAGGTTTCTTACTAGTTGGCACTAATCTGCAGGTGGGATCTTGAAGAGATTGTTGGGACTTAAACCTGATCTACTGAGCTACTCAGGTTGCAACTGACCTTCTACCGCAATCATACACATTAAATGATAAATAGTTTGATGCTTTTTATTAAGAAATTAAACTCACTAAGAATTGGTGCCATCGTTCGGTAACTGATTATTCCAGTTAATCCACATATGTATGATGAAAGTTAATCAGTCGTCAGTCAGCTACAACATAGAACTTCGTATGTGCCTACATCAGTTCAAGTTGACATATCACATTAGCACAAAGAGAGAGAATTGTCAATTCAAATCCCATAGTAGTAGAGAAGTACTAGCGGTAATGAAGAAGAAGAAGAAGATAAGGGTTTGAAGATATGATTCAAGTAGTATATATAATCCAGTAAGGTAAGTTCAAGAGGAATTCAGATTAGAATTTGAGGTAAGCCAAAGAATGAATACACCTACGACATGGCGAACGATTTTGAACCATGGTCATTCTAAGTCACTAAACATCGGTCACGATGATATAGCGTATCCTAACCAGGTAGTCAACAATTACCAACATGACTCAATCCACTTGTCAGTGACTTCATGGATTTCTACCATGTTTTGGTCTGGCCGCTCGCTAGTTTTCTTCTAGCCCACCCCTACATTGCTCGTCGAGGCAGTCAATTGGTTAGGAGGTTTGTAGTAAAGTGATTAACTTAAAAGACACCTCACTTTACAATAAACACCATTAAAATTGATAATCAAACAATTGACTTTGACAATCAATCATACAATGTATGTATAAACCAAGTAATTTGTCTAACCAAATCGATTTTGGCAACCATCTGTCTGTCTATGTCTCTTTCTCACTTTCATGCAATAAGTAGTATAATTTTTCAATGACAGTAACAACAATAATAAAAGCATATTTCTTTCTATTTAAAGAGAGAAAAGAAACTCACCTCTCTAAGGTCAGTTGTTTCTCTAACAAAAAAGAAATCTAAATTACCAAGATATGCTTCAACGCAAGCATTTGGTATAGATGACAGTGGTGTAAGTATACAATTATTAGATGTATGCGGTTTATCAATCGGCTGTTGTGGATGATTTTCTTGTTGACTAGGATTTTCATCATTACTGAGCATGATTCCATCATTAGTTCTCTAAAATAAAAAGGAGAAAAAAAAATTGGAGAAACAATTGAAGAAAATCAGCTTTGATAATCAATCAATCAATTGGGGGAATGGATAAAGTTTATGGGACCGTTAATATGATTTGTCAAGTAATATATTTTTACACGACCGTCGGTGTTGCGTATGCCCAACCACCGACTGCCTCGTCGAGCCTTGTTTTGTAGTGTAGGAATAGGTTGGAAGAAAGTTAGGGGCGGCCAAACCAAAACATGGCACAAATGCATGAAGTCATTGACGAGTGGACTTAGCCATGTCGGTAATTGTCGACTACCACCTGGTTGGGGTCCGCGAGATGATAATAATCGATGGCTAGAGACCTTGAATGACATGGCTCAAAATCGTTCGCAATGGCGCCGGTGCATTTATTCTGTGGGTTCTCTCAAATCCTAATCTTCTGAGTTCTTCAACACCTCTAGTTTTTACTTTCTAAACTTATCTCATTGAATCATACTTCGTGAATAATATCTTCTAATTCTAACCCCTCCAATTACTTCTAATACCTTTACTACCTCTTCTACTATTGGATTTGAATTGACAGTGGCGTCTCTGTGCTAATGTGATATGGCAACATGAACTAGTGTACTTACGTACGTTGCGTCTGACTGACTGACTGACTGTATGTACGTGAATACCAACTAGCTATGAAATTCTATATTTATGATATCAAAATGCGCATACACAACTATCGACATGAGTTAAACTGGGAAAAAAACATTCAAGTATTGGACAGAGAGAGAGACAAAGAAAGTGAGGGAATTGTTTGTTGTTGTCGTAGAATTCAGAGAGTTCAGTCATGCATTAATCAATAAACACATGGAAATCGGAATATCTATTCATTAGTGGAATCTAATCTTCCTAACCAGTAATGAAGAGAAAAAAACAAAGGTTAAATATCAGATTAAGAGAGAGAGAGAGAGTAGGCAGAGAATCAAAACAAACATGTAAACACAACAACCATAAAACTAATGGAATAACAACCAATCAAATTGCAAGTCAAAAAGAACCAGCTGTGACAATAATAATAATAATAATAATAATAATTTTCAATTAGAGTTATAGAGATTAGTGTTTTTTGTACACATAGAAATCACCAATCAATCATTGTGAAGCTGCACAAAATCCTTAGATTGATCAAAGTTAAACATTTACACTGTTAGATGCCGGAGGTTAGGCGTTCACGTGCAAAACTGAAGATCCTGGGAGGTTAGAATCCTTCGAGGTTCAGTCAGTTGCAATGTAGAACTTCGTACGTGTGTACATAAGTTCATGTTGCCATTAACACATTAGCACACAGAGACGCAAATGTCAAATCAAATCCCATAGTGATAAAGATAGTAGAAGTATTAATGGTAATGAAGAAGACTAAGGTGTGAAGATATTATTCTAGAAGTATAATTCAGTGAGATAAAGTTAGAAAGACAAAGGGAGATGTGCTGACGAATCCAGAAGATTAGGATTTGAGAGAGCACAGCGAATGGATGCACTTGCGCCAGTGCAAACAATTTCGAGCCATGTCGTTCAAGGTCTCTAACTATTGTTGACTTTCGTCTCGCGGACCCCAACCAGGTAGTCTACATCTACCAATATGACTCAGTCTACTTGTCAGTGACTTCATGGATTTCTGCCATGTTTTGGTCTGGTCGCCCCTAACTTTCTTCCAACCCATACTCCTACACCACAAAACATAGCTCGTCGAGGCAGTCGGTGGTTAGGCATTCGTAACACATGTCCCAACCACCTCAACTGATGAAGAGTTGTGGATGCGCACTGCCACTGATGAATCCGCATACCAGGACGAAACGACCGTCCAGGGATTCCTTGTTTTTTAATGGTGGTCTAACAGTGATCGATCGATTAATGATTTCAATGTGTATGAATAATAATAATTATACTAAAGTTCTAATAGCTCATTTCTTTTTAAAGTATACATGCAGATAGGATAATCTAAGAAAAGGCAATTGATACTGCACGACTAAACCACATAGTTTAGAGAACATAAAACCAAACAAAAAGAAAATGAATAATTCATTAACTTGACCAAACACAGAATGTCAGATAACAATAATTAGGCTTAATGATATATTACTGAAGTAGATTTTTACAGATTCAATTATACTAGACGTATGGTTAGAACGATATAAACAAGGGCTTTAGTGCAACAGATTGAAATTTACCTAGATCATAGTCAGTTATTTATTTATTTTTAAACATAAATATTGGGAAAAAAAGGTAGCCTAAATACTAATGCGCCACACAAATCAGTAAGTTTGTGTGTAGGATATGATACCACACGAATACCCGAACTGAATTAAGTGGTTTTATCAGAAAGGCCACTTCCTCCGAACCCTTGACCTACAAATATAATCCATAAACCAGTGGAACAACGTCACGGAATACAGTTCCATGGTATCTGGTGACCAACAGAAGGTTTATGCACCATTGGTTTGAAATCAGGGTTTTCTAACTCACCTCAATGGATGTTCCGTATCCACCGACCTGGTAAAACCATCGGACACTCGATGATCATCCTCTCCACCTTTTAAATAATACTGTCGCCACAATAGATAATCATATAAGTTTCCCCTCGTTGTGATTTTTTACACGTGGCCATATGAGAGCATGTCTACGGCGAGAAAGAGCGAGCTTACCACTATCGATCGCACCACGGTATTCAGAGGCTTAGAATCAAATCTGATGTCTAATTTGCTTATGTTAGTAACAGTCGTGTACTTATCTTAAACAAACTGATGCTTTTTCTGATGTTTTATGCATCTCATTTAAAATCCTGGTACTCTTAACAACAGAATAATTCCACCCAGATTATTCGATTGATCTAAAGTCGCTCGATATTTCATGGTTGATATGTGAAAATAAAAGCATGAAATGTGGTTGGTCATTAAGTATGGGACAAATGGGCACAGTCTACTTAACCTACTGGTTATTTTAAGCACGTGATTTCATTTCCCTTTGATGATGTCTCAGTTAAAATCAGTCAGCAACAACGTTATCAATTTCTACTCTAGTCTCACTGGAAAGGCTTGTAATTGTGTACAGTCTTCTAATTAGGTCGTCGTTGTCAGTGTGATTGGTGTCTGATATGATGTGATTTAATCTCTATGTGGTGTATGTACCATAGGGAAAAATGTATCTCCAATACACTCGTCATTACAATGATTCAGAATCATTTTCAATATGAAATTAGAAATTAAATCGAATGGGATTGTTTGTAATCAATCGTGAATAGCTTTTTGACTCATCATGTCAGTAAGTAGATATAGATTTGATTACACGTAAATGATAAAGCTGTTTGACTGTGTGTGACTTAATAATCTTGTGGAAATTCTGTTTTCAACAGACTGTATTTATAATGTTGAGAATGAACTGACTGATGCACTCCTCCAACTTGTAGTCTCGACCGAAGTTGCTACCTTGACGTGGTGGTCGGGCTTGCCTATCGTCATGACCCAACCGAGCTATACTGGCTGGAACATATATTCCTGCAGGTCCTACCATGCCAGGCAGGTCGATTGGAGAATGATGAGACTAAAAGCAACTACTCAAGGTCTGAGGGCGAAGTCGTACTGCTGACTGACTGTAGAGGGGTGTGACAGCAGATTTAATTATAGGTAAATGGTAAAACTCCAATGTATCTTAAATTAATCTTGTGGAAGTTCTATTTTCAACAAATTGTATATATAATCTTGAGAATCAACTGACTGATAACACTTCTCCAACTCGTAGTCAATTACTGTTAATCATTTCACATTGTTCTAATTGCCAAATTGTTGCATTTTTATTTGACAGATTTATTTTACTTCACCGTATTGATTTCATGAGTTCAAACTATTGTTTTTTTCTTCAATAGTAAAGTCTTTGAATTGATTCAACTGTTGGCAATATCGTTCAACCAATCATGAAATAACAGTCAGTTCATAATAATATATGCAGTAGTATTAAGTATTAAGTAGTAGTAGTAGTAGTACCACTTACTTAGTATCGAACCATCAATGACCTAGTATTTTGCATATTTCTAATTATATTGACTTGTCAAGTTTAAATAATTATTACAGTTGCACTTTAATTAATAAGTTTTCTCGTGTGTTCCGCTGACAGAAGAAATTGTACGTGTATCACAATTAGCATTAGCAAATATGTAAATTGTGTAGCTAGTTGTAATTGCAGGAACTAGTGTTTTTTTTATGATTTCAGTAGAGAATTAATAACAAATACTTTAATATTACTAGGAATGATGTGGAGTTTAAAGCTTAAAAGTTTTGAATCACCTGGTTTGTAATCTTAAGTTCAATTCCATCTATGTTGGCCAGAAGGAAACTAGTTTGAACGCATGAAATCAATATGGTGAAGTAAATAAATCTCAGTCAAATAAAAATTCAACAATTTGGCAATCAAAACAATGTTAAATGATTGACAGTAATTGACTGAGTTGGAGGAGTGTTATCAGTTAGTTCATTCTCAAGATTATTTATACAATCTGTTGAAAACAGTGTGGTGCGCGCTACTTATAAGTAGTATATGACGCGAGTGAAAACGTAATGTCTGGCAGTAGAATATGGGGTAAGATCAAGAAAGGATGAGTGAGAACACAAGGGAATTTGTATGAAACACATGAATAGTGAAATGTCAGACAATGAATTGATGATTGATTGAAGATTTGCAAATTACGCGTTTACGATATGGTTTTCCTATTTTACTGAGTAACTCTGTAATTTTCGTTAAATACAATTCGGTTGCCCTCAACTGTGTTTTCCTTCACTACAACAGAATTTTCAGAAGACTATTTTAAGTCCCATTGGAGTTTTACCATTTACCTACAATTAAATCTATCTATTCAAGATTAATCAGAAAATTTCCATTGGATTTAATTTCTAATTTCATATCCCTAAATTATCATTGATTCTGAATCATGATCATGATGAGTGTATTGGAGATACATTTTTCCTATGGTACATACACCACATAGAGATTAAATCACATCAGATCAGACACCAATCACACTGACAACGACGACCTAATTAGAAGACTCTATACAATTACAAGCCTTCTCAGTGAAACCAGAGTAGAAGTTAATAGCGTTGTTGCTGCCTGATATTAACTGAGACATCATCAAAAGGAAATGAAATCACATGCTTAAAATAGCCAGTAGGGTGAGTAGACTGTGTCCATTTGTCCTACACTTAATGACCAACCACATTTCATGCTTTTATTTTCATATATCAACCATGAAATATTGAGCGACCATAGATCAATCGAATAATTTGGGTGAAATTTTTCTGTTGTTAAAAGTACCAGAATTTTAAATGAAATGAATACAACATCAGAAAAAGCATCAGTTTGTTTAAGATAAGTACACGACTGTTACTAAGATAGGCAAATTGAACATCAGATTTGCCTCTAAGGCTTTGAATCCGCTGGTGCGGACTAGAGGGAGAAGTTCGCTCTCTCTCTCTCTGTGTAGACATGCTCCCATGTGGCCATGCGTAAAAAGTCACAACGAGGGGAAATTTACAGGCTGCCTTTTTGTGTCCATAGTATTGTTTGAAAAGTGGAGAGTACGAAGATCGAGTATCCGATACTTTAATTGGGTCGTCGGATATGGAACATCCATTTAGGATAGTTAGAAAAACCTGATTCCGAACCAATGGTGCAGGAACCTTCTATTGGTCACCAAGTAGTTTGAGACTGTGTTCCCTGATGTTGCTCCACTGCTTTATGGATCATATTTGTATGTCAAGGGCTCATGGAAGGTGGCCCTTCTGATAAAACCACTTAATTCAGTTTGGGTATTCGTGTGTTGTCATAGCCTACCGACAAACTCGGAATGCTCTTATTTCGCTACGCGTATAAATCAATACGAGCGGAAACCTACAGACTGCCTTTTTGTGGCCAGGGTATTCTTTACGATATTAGAGGACGAAAAGCGAGTGTCTGATGATTTAAACCGGATCGGTGGGTTCGGAAGATCTATCTAGATGAGTTAGAAATTCCTGAATATAAACAAATGGTGTGTATACGTTCTAGTGTCCTGATGGATTGAATAGCGCATGAACCTTTTGTTGCTCACCAGGTATTAAGGGACTGTATTCCATGAAGTTGCTCTATTGGTTTGTGGATTATATTTGTAGGTCAAGGGCTCGGAGGAAGTGCTCCCTCTGATAAAACCACCAGCTTATATTTAGGCACTCCGATAGTGTCCCAGTCCAATTAGAAATTTAATGAATAGTGTGGCACATATATATTTAAGTTATACATTTTTGAAACCATGAATCGATCAATCACTGTTAGACCACACCATTAGAAACCTGAAAGCACTGGACGGCCGTTTCGTCCTGGTATGGGACTCCTCAGCAGTGCGCATCCACGACTCCTGCAACCCGTAGGATTCGAATCTAGGACCTTCGGTATTGCTCGCGAACGCCCTAGCCGTTAGACCACTGAGCCGGTATCTAACGGTGTTAATGTCTAACTTGATCAAATTCACGGAGTTGCGCAACCTTATACACAGTCTTCGGTAGACACTGCCTACACCCGAACAGGTTGAACTTCATTGGTCACGTCTTCTCACTAGAACTCGGAGAAGATTCCTCACGAAGCTAGTCACTAGTGAGCACAGATAATTTGCATTACGGGGTTGTGAATGCATATATATGCATATATTTAAGTGACTCTGCATCAATAATATGTTTTAATAATGATTATAATTTGTCACTACAGTTAAATAATTTTTCATGATTCAAAATATTCACTCATAGGTGACTTGAAAGATATCAAGTTGTTATGTCTGATTCTTCACAGCACATTCTTAAGTTATAAAAAAATACTTTTTTTTCTAAAAAAGAAACCTATTTAACGATCAGTTTAGTTCAACACACTCCATTTGCTGGATTATAGAAAAACCAACAAATCATGTGCTTTATTTGACAGTTTAAAAAGTCTATTAAATATTGGTTTCAATGTTACAATTTATTAGGTTATACAGTCGATTACAATGTATAACCAACCTTATATATGAATGAAGTAACAGGTATACGTGTAATTATGTATAAGATTGCACATTGTGATTGGATAGACCATTTGCAAATGATTGATCAGTTTGCAGTGGCTAATGTCACGTCAGTATCAGTCAGTCAATCAGTCAGCTACAACGTAAAACTTTGTACATACGTACATCAGTTGAACTTGCCAGACCACATTGAAACAAAGAGAAAGAATTGTCAATTCAAATCCAATGGTGATAGAGGTGGAAGAAGAAAAAGAATGGATGTACCTGCGCCATTGAAAACGATTTTGAGCTGTTATCGTGACGTGGTGGGTCAGGCTTGTCTATCGTGGTCACCCAATTGAGCTATATTGGTTGAAACGTATGTTCCTTTAGGTCCCATCATGCCATGCAGGTTGATTGGAGAGCGGTAAAACTAAAAGCAGCAACTGAAGGTCTGAGGACGAATTCGTACTGATGAGGCATGACAGTAGTAAAGTTTATTCCTAGGAAAACCAGTATCTGCAGCGATTCTGCCTTCTTACAAGGAAGGAAGGAGTTAGAAAAGGTCGATCCTAAAAATGTCACACCTGACCTTTTTCTCACGGATTTCCATCTAGAGCGGAGCTAACACGTCGAAAACTTCCTATCAAAAGTCTGTGAGTGGTCGGCCTTAGGCACTTATCCCTTAGCCTTTGAGGTTACGCTTCCCGGTCGCTAAGACAAACGCTAATCCAATTTCCTTTCAACACTCCTCAAAAAAATACCCCTTATACGGTGAGTGTAGCAGGCAAGTGACATCCACCCTCATATGCGTAACAACACACGAGACCGAATTGGTCATAAACAATACATCTTAATAACTCTAATACCTCCAAGACTAACCCTACTTTCATATTGGTATAAGCCTTCTTAGTGATAATAATAGTTATATCTATCAAGCCCCAAATTGAGTTTTTAGCCTAAGTTAATCAGAATCATGTGTTTTAATGTTCGGTGCCAGTAGGACACCATACTTGATCTAGATTTTGTGCTAGTTGAGATGATGTTTCTTTGCAGGATTTAAACCTGAGGCAACCAGAGTGAGAGTTTGAAATAAACTACCATACATTTATTCCAGTCATCTCAGGCTGTGAATTTGAGTCGTGTGAGTTTGAAATCTCACAGAGAACATCGATTTCTTTAGTATCTCAAATCTCGACTAACACAAAATCTAGATCAAGTGTAGTTTTCTGTGAACTGCTATAACCACCAAACATCCAAAAAACAAAACGCACAGAGTTTCGACCAACGTAGACTAGTAGTAGGATTTGATTAATACTTAAGACTAGAGAAACATGTGTTATGAGTCACTCACTGTTCACTGGAGTATTCGATTTTAATAAAAGTGGTCTTTTCAACAAGTATGAGATTCTAATTATTAAGATATTAAGTAAAACCCACAAAATTTATGAAATATTTAAAAGTATTCATATGTAGATGACAGACACACTGACGCTTTTTTCTAAGTCTGATAAAAAAAATAAATTACATCTGTAAACACAGCAGGGCTGATATCAAAAGGTCAAAGCTTTTTTAAAGCACAGTTTTATTAGGAATTACCGCCTGGGAAGTCTTTTCTGGGCATGAATGATAATGTGGCAGCTCATTGCTGATAAATTCTCAGAGGAGTGGAAGTTAATTTTTTTGTAAAGAAAAAAAACACCATTGATACTGCCTGAAATTTATCAAATAACGTTTTCATAACCTCCTCCTCCTTCTCCTCAAATAGCCGTGTTTATTGAACAACAACAACACATCTGAAGGGAACCACGGCATCAACTGGAAAGTTACGAAGCAGCTGAACGATCTGGACTTCGCAGATGACCCGGCTCTTGATGGAGATGCCTTGGAGGACGTTACCACTTTTACATATCTGGGCAGCATCATCGATAACCATGGTGGATCCGATGCAGATGTGAGAGCGCGGATTGGCAAAGCAAAGGCTGCATTTCTAGAGTTGAAAAATATCTGGAACTCCAAACAACTTTCATCCAAAACCAAAATCAGGATTTTCAATAGAAATTTCAAGACAGTTCTACTGTATGGAGAGGAAACTTGGAGAACTACGAAAGGCATCATCCAGAAGATACAAGTGTTTATTAACAGTTGTCTACGCAAAATACTTCGGATTCGTTGGCCAGACTCCATCAGTAACAACGTACTGTGGGAGAGAACAGATCGAATTTCAGTGGAGGAGGAGATCAGGGAAGAGGGTTGAAGTGGATGGGACACACACTGATTAAAGCGCCCAAATGCATCACAAGACAAGCCCTCATTTGGAACCGTCAGGGCAAAAGGAAAAGAGGGAGGCCAAGGAACACATTACACGCCGAGAAATAGAGAAAGATATGAGAGGAATGAACAAACATTGTACAGAACTGGAGAAGGAAGCCCAGGATGGACAGAGTTGGTTGGAGAAAACTGGTGGGCGGCCTATGCTCCACTAGAGATAACAGGCGTAAGTAAGTAAGTATTGAACAACTCACATAAACAAATAAACCTACCTTGATAAAACTGATTGATTTTAAATCAGTTTTCAATTTAGTTAATAATGAAGGTTTGCGTAAATGAAATTTTGAACGACTTTTAATTGAAGATTTTCGTTCACTAGCATTGTCATCATCGTTGTTGGCATTGTAATGATCACCCATTGAATGTGAAGTAAATTTATTCTGGCTTGTTGAAGAGTGATTGTCAGGATTGGCTGCCGCCACAGGAGAATTTGGAGTGGATTGAACATTGAACATTGATTGTTGATTTTCATTTGTTTGTATTAATGATGATGAATGAATTGGATGAAGTATCATACCGGTAGCTATGATCTTTATAATGAAAATATCAATAGAGAAGAATATACATGCTAGGGATTATAGATATGTTACAATATACATCATGTAATATAGATTTATACTAAGACAAAATGGTCATTAGATTAAATAGATGGTGGCTAGTAGTGGAATCCAGGATGCAGGTCTCGTCTTAGTTGGGGGCTTTTCGGCTGGATATACGTGTATCTTACTAGAGTTAATGTTTAGTCCGGTATTACACTCGGATCGTTTAAGCACATTTCGGATTATGATTGTGAACGATTTGATCTTGTGTGCTGTTACAGGTATGAGGGCGGATATCAAATCCCGGCTGTCTACAGTCGTGGAAGGGTGTTTCCTGAGGAACCTAAAAAGGAAGGTAGATTAGTGTTGGTCTTAGCGACCTAGGAGCGTGACTGCAGAGCCCGGAAGGACAACTGTTTGAGGCCAGTCACGCACGGATATTTTATGAGAAGTTTTTGACGTGTTAGCTCCGCTCTTGTTTAAAAGGCCTTACCGCCGGAGGCGGTGAGAAGGCAGCATCGCTACAGATGCTGGTTGTCCGAGGAAAACACCTAACATCAATGGAACAAGATTCTAAAGTTCTTGGTGGATTGGTAAAGCAAGAGCATCATTCCTACAACTGGAGAACATCTGCAACTGAAAACAACTACCAACCAATACCAAAGTCAGAATTTTCAATACAAATTTCAAAACAGTTCTACTAAATGAGGCGGACGCTCGGAGAACCACGATAGCCATTTATAAATAGATGTCTATGCAAGCTACTGTACATCTGTTGGCCAGAAACTATCAGCAAAAACCTACTGTGAGATAGAACAAACCAGATTCCATGAGAGCAAGAAATTAGGAAAACGCGTTGGAAGTGGATAGGACATATATTACGGAAATCACTCATATGCGTCACCCCAGCAAGCCGTAACTTGAAATCCTCAAATTAGGAGAAGACCAATGAATACATTACACCGACAATTTTTAAGCAAACACCAAAAACAATGAACAACAATCGGGTAGAACCAGAAAGGTAGGTCCAGGACAAAGTAGGTTGGAGAATGAGAGTCGGTGGTCGATGCTCCATTGGGTGTAACAGGCGTAAGTAAGCAACTACTACTACTACTATTAATATATCTTGGTTAACCGACAAGCCCGCTGCACATGCACATCGCTGCTTTTTAGGCAACACAAGGATTTTCACTGTAGCCATCAGTGATCATCCCTGCCCCAATCGGGAACATACATGTTGTTCAGTTTGGTCTGCAAGCAGGTCGGACGTCCAAAAAGTACACACACGAACAGCTGCCCCAGTTCGGGCACTTATGAATCAAAAAGATCACTCCACCAATCCACTAACCGAAATCCTGAATCGGCATGAGCGGCAAGGCGGACTTACCCAGCCGGACCGAGCCACTCAGCAGCCGTTACAACCGTCTGGCCTCCAACTGCCTTGCGCTGATACAATCGACCGGAGCCCTCAGACCCCACATGAAGCTAAAGATCGAGTTTGTTCCAAAAGGTCAGCCAGAAAGTACTCACTCCCATGAGGAAGATGTCATGGAATTAACCAAGTGCAAGCACCAAGCTGGGTTAATCCCACGGAAGTGGGCAGATATCATTGATGTGCAGTACCCTTTAGCATCGGATCACATAACCCAACTCGAGACCCTTGTTTAAGGAGCCTCGACTCCAGTTTACACACTACACCGAGGTGCACAGTGTTCGCGACAACCACATAGGGTCGGCGTCAATAGTCCAAGATCTCTACGGCTGCTTCCCCAAACAGAACATCTAGCGCCACCTTCAATCATCCTGGAAATCTACATCCCTTTCAAGGTATTTACTATTACGGAATGATAGAGGACAAGTCCTCAAACCATTATCGGAATTTACCTACGCTCGATGGACGGGATTCAAACTTAGAGGTGTTCAGTCCTAATCCCCCCAGAGTGGTTAACCGTGTCCACAGCCTTGCGACCATTATTCTGGAGCATGCTAAGCACGGTAGTCCTAAGCGTCATAGTTACTCCCGCCAATAATAATAATAATAATAATAATAATAATAATAATAGCAATCACTAACTTGTATGTGTTCATCATCTGTAAAAGATAAACGATAATCCAATGCATTAATAATACATGGTATATAATGACGAAATCGAAACCATGTTAATTGATTAAATTCACGTAACGCCTTACTTAAACTATGCTCATTCATACTATTATTAATATTAATATTATTATTATTATACAATAATGTTTGATGATATTGTGATGAATGTTTCATTTTCACATTAGGCATAGATGAATTCAACGATGTTGATGATGATGTGGATGATGTTGATGTAGATGTAGATGACGTAATAGTGTTTGTACTTGATGTGATAATTGCAATCCGTGTTGTTTTAATAGAGTCATTTTTGATTGAACAAGTTGTTGTTCGTGGCAAATTCAAATCTAGCCCAGTAGTATGACAATGAATTAAATTTTGTGTAGAAACACTATGTGATTGTGGTGTCAATGTCAAAGCGGTTGTCGTTGTTGTCGTTGGTGTCAATTCATTCACACAAGAGGATGATGAAAACACCATGGGATTAGGGCAATTGGCTGAATTCATTGAAGTTTCAAAAAATGAATCGGGCACAGTTAATTGAGTTTCATGTAAACGTATAAAACTATTAGATTGATAATGCCAAGCGGATAATTTATTCGAATGGATAAACATTTTGCTATCAGTATTATTATTATTACTATTACTGTTGAGTGTCACATTATCATCATCAACATTATTATTATTATTATTATTACTATTATTCTGATCATTATGATTGTTACTTGATATTGGTATTGATTCTGTAGTTGTAAGAATTAAGCCTAAAAAACAATTAGAAGTTAAAATGTGACAAATACAATTTGAATTGTTAATTATTTTAGACACATGAAATCATGAATCAGTCATTGTGAGACCGTCACTAGAAACTTGGAAGCACTGGCTCAGCGGTCTGGGGGTTAGGTGTTCGCGCGCAAGACCGAAGTTCATGGGTTCGGTCCCAGGCGAGCAGGGGTGTGTGGATGTGAGCAATGACATTGACGAGTCCCGTCTTAGGACGAAACGGTCGTCCAGTGCTACTTTAGGTTTTTTTTTGGTAGTCGAACAATAATGAATGAGGTATGATTAAAAACTACAGATGACTGAATTGTTGTTTCATATCAGTATGGAATTCTCCAATTATTTCTCTAACGATCAAAACAGCATTCGAAGATCATACCGTCACTTTATCCTGGTCATCGACTGGATTAAGAAGACGTCAACATCTGGAGGGAAGCACGGTATCAACTGGACAGTTAGGAAGCAGCTGGACGATCTGGACTTCGCAGATGACTTGGCTCTTCTATCGCACACGCAACAACAGATGCAAGAGAAGACGACTAGTGTAGCAGCAGCCTCTGCAGCAGCAGGTCTCAACATACATAAGGGAAAAAGTAAAATTCTCCGATGCAACACAACATGCACCAAACAAAACACTCTTGATGGAGATGCCTTGGAGGACGTTAACACCTTTACATATCTGGGCAGCATCATCGACAATCAAGGTGGATCCGATGCAGATGTGAGAGCGCGGATTGGCAAAGCAAAGGCTGCATTTCCACAGTTGAAAAATATCTGGAACTCCAAACAATTTTCAACCAAAATCAAAATCAGGATTTTCAATACAAATGTCAAGACAGTTCGACTGTATGGAGCGGAAACATGGCGAACTACCAAAGCCATCATCCATAAGATACATTGTCTACGCAAAATACTTCGGATTCGTTGGCCAGATACCATTAGCAACAACCTACTGTGGGAGAAAACAAACTAGATTCCAGTGGAGGAGGAAATGAGGAAGAAGTGGTGGAAGTGGATAGGACACACATTGCGGAAAGCACCTAACCGCGTCACAAAACAAGCCCTCAGTTGGAACCCTCAAGGCAAAAGGAAAAGAGGAAGGCCAAGGAACACATTACGCCGAGAAATAGAGAAAGACATGAGAAGAATGAACAAACATTGGACGGAACTGGAGCGGGAAGCCCAAGACGGAGTTGGATGGCGAAAACTGGTGGGCGGCCTGTGCTCCATTGGGGTTAACAGGCGTAAGTAAGTAAGTAAGCAAGTACCGTCACTTTATGGAGAAATAATTGCAATTGATCGATCTACTTCTGTAGAATTGTGTACGAGCACTTTCGTAGTATACTTTACAATAAGAAGAAGGATGAAATAGTTAGCCAATCCAATTTACCTTTTACCAATATCCTAATTGGAAACAATTTTACAAAGAATATAACTTACAAAAGTTAAATCAATATTTAAAAAAACTATAATGTGATCGATTTGTTAGATAACATTATTTTTAATGTAGGAATTTTGACCAAACAATAATAATAATTTTGGCATTGATTAAGAACTTTGTCATTTAAAAATAGATAATAGATAGCTGCTGCTAGATAGTATTAATGTTTAGTGAGTCAATGAAACAGTTTAAATGCATGTGTAGATTAATAAAACAACACACATATAGCGAAGAGAAACAGATTATTCAAAAACATTTTCAGTGTTTTTATTTCGGGATACTACACTCCTAACTCATATTGTAGTGAAGGAGAACACAGGTGAGGGAAACCGAATTGTATTTATCGCAAATTACAGAGTTAATTGGTAAAATAGGGAAACCATATCGTAACCACCGTTAATTTGCAAAACATCAATCCATCATCAATCCATTGTCTGACATTTCACTATTCATGTGTTTCATACAAATTCCATTGTGTTCCCACTCTTCTTACTTTCTTGATCTTTCCCCATCTTCTGCTACCAGACATTACGTTCACACTCGCTTCATATACTACTTATAAGTAGCGCGCACCACAATATGATCTCATATTGTCTAGAAAATGAAAATTTCGCTATTGCTAAAAAATCATCACCCAAACATGAGACAAAGGGAGTATTTGATCCAATTTGTGACTACGTGGGCTGCATCTCTTGCTATCCTATGCTATACGATGTATATGCCATAAGCTATATTGCTATATAGAGCTGAAGGTTTCCTATGAGACCAGAGGTAAGCCGTGAACATTGTGAATGTCTTGGCATTGCTTTGGGAAGTATTGCTAACAGTTCATATACAAAATTGGTTAGCAAGGTGACCGATTTCATTGATACTGATAGTGGTTGTCTTTCAATATTTCTCAGGGCCATCGTCATTGAGACGCTATAATGCATATCACCAATGTTGATAATAATGAGTTTGACTATCATGTAAGCGGGGAAGATCAAATTGACGTGTTCATACTGAGCGTATTGATTGACGCGATCATGTATCGGAAATAATCCATATATTTATTGGTGTATATAAATAGTGTGAATGGTCCACCGGGGTGTTAGGTATCTGTGTGGTTGCGCCACAGCATTGAGATGTATTGTTGTCACGTTGTAGTGTTAACACGTGAGCAGTGTCTGGTTATTTGAGTAAACAAACAATTTAGTTTGTACAAATACATTCAGAAACTATGCATGATATAATTTCGACTATAAATAGATGACAGCTATTTTGTATATGATTCATTAGTTAACTTGAATGTAACAGTTGAAAAAAATTAAGAGGAAACTTTAAAAATAAATCAATTAATCTAGTTCTTAGTTGACGATGATGATCACAGTACATAGTTGAGGAGGTTGTAGAGTATCATTAAGAATCATGAACTGATCAATGTCAGACCACCATTGAAAACCCGGAAGCACTGGACACAATCGTTTCGTCCAGGATGAGACTCATCGGCAGCGTACATCCATGACCCCATATGCAGGAATCGAACCCAAGACTTTTGGTTTCGGGTGTGAACGCTTAACCTCCTCCTAATCACTGAATCGGCATACAACAGTAATCCAATGACAAAAGGTAAAAAGAGTTAAACACATTTCCCCTCCCCCAAAAAAAGAAACAACACAACAAAATCAAATTACCTTGTGGTTGAAAAGGATCTTGTAAAAGAATAGCTAATTCTTCAATTTCTGGTTCTCTAGTTTCAAGGAATAATGTATCATCGGTATGATGTGAATGAATTAAATCACATGTGGATTGTTTAAATGGTGGATTAGTATCATCAGGAGAAAGAGAAAGGGTGAGAGTAAGCAACCTTGTCTGACACCGGTCTTCACCTCGAACGATTCTGTCAGCTGTCCTCTATGTGCGATTTCGCAGTTTAATGAACCATTAGAATTCCGTATAATGTTGACCATCTTCTCAGGCACGCCGTAGTGTCAAGCAAGCCTCCATAGTGTTGTCCTGTCCACACTATCAAATGCTTTCTCGTAGTCAATGAAGTTGATGTAGGGTGGTGAGTTCCATTCAACTGACTGTTCCACACTGATCCGTAATGTTGCAATTTGGTCGGTACACGATCTATCCTTACGAATTCCAGCCTGTTGGTCTCGAAGTTGGGCATCTACGAAGTCCTTCATTCTGTTTAATAGTGCCCTGTTGAAGACACTGCCTGGCATTGAGAGTAGAGTGACGTCTATGTAGTTCTCACACTTCCTGAGATCGCCTTTCTTCGGTATTTTGACGAAATATCCTTCTTTCCAGTCTGTTGCTATACGGCTGTGGAGATTGTAGAGTATAATTGAAATCATGAACTGATCAATGTTAAACCACCATCCGAAATAGGAAAACACTAGACAACCGTTTCGTCCTAGTATGCGAATCATCAGCAGAGTACATCCATGATCTCATGTGCGGAAATCAAACCCAACACATTTGGTCTCGAGTATATACGCTTAACCTCTTGATATTCTTTCACTGAAATACATATTATGACAAAATACACAAGAGTTATTTCGGGACAGACTTTTGGAGGTTTGCGTTATTACACATTTGAAATCATCAATCAATCATTGTTAGACCACCATTAGAAGAAACCTGGAAGCACTGGACGGCCGTTTCGTCCTGGTATGGGATTCATCAGTGGCAGTGCGCATCCACGACTCCTGCTCCTCGCAAGAGTTAAACAAAAAAAAATAAAACATTTCCCCTCCCCCCCCCAAAAAAAAGCAACACAACAAAATCAAATTACCTTGTGGTTGAAAAGGATCTTGTAAAAGAATAGCTAATTCTTCAATTTCCGGTTCTCTAGTTTCAAGGAATAATGTATCATCGGTATGATGTGAATGAATTAAATCACATGTGGATTGTTTAAATGATGGATGAGAATCTTTAAAATGATTTATCATTATAGTATTATTATTATTATGATTATTATTGATATTTAATTGATTAAACTGATTGTCCATGGATGATTTCATAGGATTGTTACAATGAATTTCATTGGTATGCTGTTTATTGTCCGTAATAATACTTTTGTCTAGTTTAGTTGGTAAATTATTTTGATAATAAGTATCCTGAAATAATAGAATTTTAAAAGATTATGTTGTAAATGATCAATATGCGTATATATACATATAAATAAATGTTTGCAATGATATTTGCTGTATTTTATTACTAAAGTATGTTGCAAAAAGAACTAATATTGTACAGTCAGTCAGTCAGTCAGATGCAACGTACAACTTCGTACGTAAGTACATCAGTTCATGTTGCCATACCACATCAGCACAGAGATATAATTGTCAATTCAAATCCAATAGTAGAAGAGGTATTAGAAGTAATCGGAGAGGTTAGGATTAGAAGATATTCAAGAAATATGATTCAGTGAGATAAGTTTAGAAAGTCAAAACTAGAGGGGTTGAAAAAATCCAGAAGATTAGGATAGCGTTGGCAAAATATCCGTTTGGTAAGCAAAGGACTAGTATACTGCGCAGCAGTTCGCTCCGTTCTAATATATGAATGCGAAACATGGCCTTTGAGAGTAGAGGACATTCGTAGATTGCTTGTCTTCGGTCATAGGTGTCTCCGAAGCATTGCGTGGGACAGCCGAATAAGCAATGCTGCTGTTAGGAAACGGATGCTGGTTAGGATGGTAGATCAATTGATGAAGTAATGAAACTTCATCGGTTGAGGTGGTTGCGACATGCGTTGCATATGCCTAACCACTGACTGACTCGTTGAGCTATGTTTTACTGTGTTTGAATCTTCTAATCTGCTCTTCACGAGCTTTCGTTAAGCGTCGAAGTATTATTGAGGCCAATATTTTAGATACTATATTAGTTAGACTGTAATATTGTATAAATTTACCCTCAATGTGCAAGGCTGGTTGTACATTGGTTTTCAGAAGAACCAGACACTGTCCACATGTTAACACTACAACATGAAACTCACACATAGGTACCTGACACTGTGGTGGACCCTTCACAGTCAGTCAGATGCAACGTAGAACTTCGTACGTATGTACATAAGTTCATGTTCTCATACCACATTAGCACAGAGATGTAATTGTCAAATCAAATCCCATAGTGATAGAGATAGTAGAGTTATTAATGGTAATGTAGAAGACTAGGGTTTGAAGATATTATTCAAGAAGTATAATTCAATGAGATAAGGTTAGAAAGACCCTTCACATCATTTATATAAACCCGTATATATATGTAGGGATTATTTCCGATTCATGATTGCGTCAATCAATATGCACAATATGAGAACAGGCTAATTTGATTTATTCCGTATACATGACTGTCAAACTCATCATGATTATTACCAATGATGATATGCAATACAGAGAGCGCTCCTATGACAATGACTCTCGGGAGCGTTGTAAGACAACCCACCACCACTAGTATCATTGAAATCAGTCAATCTGCTAACCAAATTTGTCCATGGACTGTTAACAATACTTGCCAAAATAATGCCAACACATCCACAATGTTCATTACAACGAACTTCTGGTCTCATAGTTATAGAGCTTATGGTGTATAATATACATCTTATAGCATATGATAGCAACCGATGCAGCTCAGCTTGACGCAAATCGGCTCAACACATTCTTATTACCTTTTGTCTCATGTCAGGTGACGATTTTTCCGCAGTAGCGAAATTTTCATTTTTAGGGTAGTATCCTGAAATAACAACAGTATGACGATGTTGTCAAATAATTTGTAGAAAAAAATTCTATAGCTTGTTTCTCTTCTCTATATGGGTGTTCTTTAAATCTACACATGCATATAAACTGGTCTACATATAAACTGTAGACCACCAAAAACCAAAACATGGCAGAAATCTATGAAGTCATTGACGAGTGGACTTAGCCATGTCGGTAGTTGTCGACTACCTCCTGATTGGGGTCCGCGAGATGATAATAATCGATGGTTAGAGACCTTGAATGACATGGCTCAAAATCGTTCGCAATGGCGCCGTTGCATTTATTCTTTGTGTTCTCTAAAATCCTAATCTTCTGGATTCTTCAACACCTCTAGTTTTGACTTTCTAAACTTTTCTCATTGAATCATGCTTCTTGAATAAAATCTTCTAATCCTAACCTCTCCAATTACTTCTAATACCCTTACTAACTCTTCTTCTATTGGATTTGAATTGACAATTACATTTCTGTGCTGATGTGGTATGGTGACATGAACTGATGTACTTACGTACGAAGTTCTACGTTGCAACTGACTGACTGTAGACCACCATTAGGAACCTGGTATGGGGACTTATCAGCAGTCAGCATCTACGACTCCTGCTGCTCGTAGGATCTGAACCTACGACATTCGGTTCTGCGAGCGAACACTTAACCTCTGGATCATTGAGCTAACATCCAACAGTGTTAATGTCTAACCCTGATCAATCGATTTTTTGGTAGCTACAGCCTACATTCTACAGGGTTGAATTCCATTGGTCATGTTTTCTTACTAGAGAGCTCCGACAATTTCCTCTCGAAGTCAGGCCGGGTTTGTTAAAAATTGACATTTCCTACTCTGTAGAGTTTTAGTCATGGATAAACACTTTAGTTAAAACAGTAATTGAACATTTACACCCAATGTTGAACAGTGTTTGTTTCTTTCAATTGTCTGTCATCAATCAATCAATTCCCAATATAACAAAAACACAATCCATGATTATTTTATTGTCGTGTAATTTTCAACGAACATATTAGTTTGTGTATATACATATATAGACGTACATACATACACACACAGACACACACACACATACAAATGTATCAATAGTGCAGAGTGTTTAGTTAAACACTTGAACTGAAGATCAATATGAATGAATGCAGTCAATGTGGGGCAGTGTGATAAGTTTGTTCCGAGTGTAAATCAAGTAAAATCAATAAGTAACGGCAGAGAGAGAGGGAGAAAGATTTATTTTTAGAATTTTTCAAATGTAATCTATTTTGTCTACAATTCCTACCTACAATTAGACATACAAACATAACATAGAAACATTGGATCAGTAGTAGTAGTAGTAGTGGGTGTAGGTAGAGATTATTGTGCCACACCCTTTATTATCACTACACTAACAGGGAAACTATGTCGAAAAATCAAACAAAACACATTATAACAACCGTAGTAGATTGGAGTGAATGATATCGAATATATGAAATAAGTTTAACAATGGTGTTATTACTGCCTTTGTGTACGCGAGAGCCATTTTTTGAAGACAGACATTGTAGAAATTGGATTATGCTGTCGATAACTCTGTCATGTGTACTAATCATGTTAAGACCACATAGTTTATCCTAGATATCGGATAAACTAATTAACCTTTTCACTCAGACTTATTATTCATATGTCTTGTCAACTTGTCAATTATTCGCTGAAAATCTTGGTTGATTTGATTTGAATGAATGAATGTGCGCTGTTCATTTCGTTGATCACATGTTTAGCTTAAATTTGTCTGACTGTAACTACTTAGTAATGCTTTATAGCATTGAGTTGACTCATTCGCCTATTCCACTTCGCTTTTGAGATTTATATTCCCATGTCTGTTTTCCATGACCATTTGTATAGAGTAAACCTCTAATTACCGCCGTTGCATATACAGGGTTCGTCTAAGCATGAAGAGAAGACTTATTTCATGGCATATTGAACTGTTCATTCAAATTGAAGGCACATTTCAAGTCAACAAAACTATAATAATTCATTGAAACTGTTATATTCACAATATATAAATAATATCACGATTCCAAAAGGTTGGAAGCTTAGTTAATCACAACAATTCTGTATGTAATTGTTTACAGACTACGCCTTAACATTAATCTGATAACGCATGATAACTATCAATGAATATATACTGTTCATTGCCAAACGTTATCTGAAATTGCTCAAGGGTTATCTTCAGTTAGAAGATCAGGAGAAAACGAAAAATGTGTAAAAACACAAAACTCCCAAAACTCTGCCCCAAAATATCGTAACAGTGCTCACTAGTGACTACTAGCTTCGTGAGGAAATTCTCGGAGTTCTAGTTGAGAAGACGTGACTAATGCAGTTCAACCCTGTCGGGTGTAGGTAGTAACTACCAAAGACAAATGGGTGAGGTCGCGCAAAAATCCCTAAATCAATCAGAGTTAGACATGAACACCGTTGGATGCCGGCTCAGTGGTCTGATGGTTAGGCGTTCGGGCACAATACCGAAGGTCCTGGGTTCGAATCTCGCGAGAGGCGGGATTCGTGGATACGCACTGCTGATCAGTCCCATACTAGGACGAAACGGCCGTCCAGTGCTTCCAGGTTTCTAATGGTGGTCTAACAATGATTGATTGATGATTTCGACTGTGTAAAAACACCAAACCTCCAAAACTCTGCCCAAAAAGGAAGAGTGTTAGGGATTCTATTCCAAGGAAAAACCATTTCAACAATCATCCGTAAGTGGGTCTGAAGGTGAAATAACTCATTTAGAAAAACATGAAAGTTCTAAGTGGAGGTGATTTCTAGTTTCTGATAGTTGTCTAAGATTAGTAATTCATTAATGTAAAACTAAGAAATTTGACATTTTCTATAATTTACTGACAATTTTTTGTATTCATTAGTTGTATGTATGTAAATTAACTCTGTAAGTCAACCAGTCAGTTACAATGTAGAACTTCGTACGTAAGTACATCAGTTCAGGTTGCCATACCACATTAGCACAGAGATGAAATTTTCAATTCAAATCGCAAAATATTAGAGGTACTAGAAGTATTAGCAGTAGTCGGAGAGATTAGGGTTCGACGATATTGTTCAAGAAGTATAATTAAGTGAGATTACTTTAGAAAGAGAAAGATAGGAATCATGAGGGATTCAGAAGATTAGAGTTTGAGAGAACACAAAGAGTGGATGCACCTGCGCCATAGCAAACAATTTTGAGCCATGTCATTCAAGGTCTCTAACCATCGATTACTTTCGTCTCGCCGAC